AGTGTCATCGTCTATTTGCAATGAGAAGGGCTTGCTTCCAAGCTTGTTTATAATCCTGGGAGCTGGTTTCTAACACTAACTTGCCATGTCTGGTCTTTTCCTAAAAGAACCCAATCCTTACAAAGCAAGCAGACAACCACTCTAAAACTCCCAATGTCTCCTTTTGTGTGGCTGAAGGACAGTTTAAACCTTCTCCATGCTGCAGTGAAGGAGACAGTACAGGATCTATCACTCACTGTAGCACTAGTCCTTAAGACTCGCAACTTCCCAAGAAAACACTTCACTCCTGGACTCCCTAAGGGACAACTCTGAGGCTGGTCTAGAAACCCAGATCATTTCTCATCACTACACTCTACTAACTTTTGGACTTACTCTCCATGATGATTTATGCACAGGCTGTTTTGTAAACCTCAATGTCACATGCTAAATGTTCTTAAGAACTTCCGCACTGGGAGAGGAAAAAATGACTCAGCAGTTCAGAGTACTTGCTGTTCTTGTGGAGGACCTATGTTCAGTTGCCAGCATCCACATGGCAGCTCCCAACCATCTGTAACCCCAGTTCCAGGAAGTCTAATTCCTGGCCTCTGGGAGCAGCAGGCACACACATGGTGCACATACATACTTGCAGGCAAAACCCACCCATAAAATATTAACACATAGTTCAAAACCGTTAATTTACTGTTTTTTTAAAGTTAATTCTTTGCGTTTGTTATTATTTTATGCACGTCGGCCCGTGAATGTGTGTTTGTGTGTGTGTGTGCGTGGGTATGCCACAGCGCGCATATGCAAAGGCACAGGACAGTCTGCAGGAGTCACTTCTTCTCTTCCACTATGTGAGTTCTGGGGGTCAAATTGAGGTACTCAGGCTGGATGCCAAGCACGGTTAGTAGCTGAGCCATCTTGCTGACCCTCATTTATCCTTTTCTACACAAACATTTAATAAAAATTTATCCTGCTAAAGTAGATGCACCTTTGTTTTCTTCTCAACTACAAGTGTCCCAAACACTGGATTTAGTAGCAGAGCACTTTCAGGGAGCTAAAACATGCTTTTCTATAGCCAACCTGTGCCTAGCAATGCTCAGTCCTTGCATCTATTATTCAACATGGAATAAATAGCAAACACTTCTGAATAATTAGGCTTATTAATTATGTAAGGACAACCAGGAGTACCTGGGAGAAGCTTTTTTTCTGTATCCACCTGAACTCTCAGAAGCTAAGAGGTGAAGTTACAATTCTGAGAGCTAGTTAGTCGACCAAGCTTTATCAAGTTAACAGCACAAATGCAAGTTTTGAGACCTCTTCTAAGTTCCATATCACAAGGCTCAAGTGACTGCTTTTCTCTTCCTATGCTGATAGTCACCACTGTGAACAAAGTCTGTCTGCAGGCTCATCTGTCACTCATCTGTCACTGTACAGTAATAATAGGGGCATCCTTCTTTGTGATACATCTTTTTATCTCAGAAAGAACACAGTCAAAGAGCTTTAATGGCTTTGACAGTATTACCAGTGTCTAAGGCAGCACATACTCAAAGACAGCTAATGGGCCCGACAGTATTGCACACTTTCTGTAAGTCATCCTTACAGAAAGTTTCTGCAGCTGCCATCTGAAGCAGCTAGCATAGGACAGCTTTTAAGAAATCCTATAAAAACTGAGCTTCCAGGGCTGGAGGGATGGCTCAGTGGTTAAGAGCACTAGCTGTTCTTCCAGAGGACTTGGGTTCAATTCTCAGTACCCACATGGCAGCTCTCAACTCTCTGTAAGTCCAGCTCCAGAGGATTCAGCATCTTCACACAGACATATATGCAGGCCACTAAAGCACATGAAATAAAAATAAAGCCGAGCGTGGTGAAGCACACCTTTAATACTAGCACTAGGGAGGCAGAGGCAGATGGATCTCTTGAGTTCAACGCTAGCCTGGTCTACAGAGCAAGTTCCTGGTCAACCACAGCTATTGCACAGAGAAACTCTGTCTCGAAAAACCAAAATAGATAGGTAGGTAGGTAGGTAGGTAGGTAGGTAGGTAGGTAAGTAGGTAGGTAGATAGACAGACAGATAGATAAGAAAATGTGGGTTCCCTTCAGTCCAACTTTGGCAAGAAACTAAATTCATTAAGTAGCCCTCAAATTATGGGTCCCACCTCCATCACAGAGACATCCCAGCTCACATCTCACAAGACTATGTTCCTATGTTCTAAGCAGCATGGCTAACCACCAAGCTTTCTATTGCTCAAAAGGTGTGTGTATCTGTCTGTCTGTTTGAATGACTGTTATGTATTCCTATTTTCTAAGAGCCTGTCTGAATAACCATAAAATTTGGCACTCATATTTGCCAAATTTCTAGATTGTTTAGTTCTGTGAAAAGGGAACACTAGGGAGGGGGCGCCCTTGGAATGTAAACTAAATAAAAATAAAAAAGTAAAAATATACAAAAGCAAAAAAAAAAAAAAAAAAAAAAAAAAGGTGGAGGAAATACTAACAATCGCATTTTCCATTTGACCTTTTCTTGGACAGCTCTTAGAATTAGACGGCTATAGTTTATTATAAGAGTCCAGAGGAAGATTTCAAGTGGACTTAAAAAGATGATGATGATGATGATGATCATCATCATCATCATCATTATCATCAAGATAAGGTCTTACATGGTGGTCCAAACTGGGCTACAACTTACTGTATAGTCTAGGCTGTCCTCAAACTCACAGCTGTCCTTCTGTTTTAGCCTTCTGAGCAACACCAGCATTGGGCATTTAGAAGATGCCTCCAAGCAGTCAGTACTGAAAGCAAAGGTAGGAATGGGCACTAAGTGACCAGGGGAGTTAGATGCCAGGGCTAAGGAGCTACTGCAGGGTGGGCACAGCCTGAAGGCAAGTGCAGTTGTGTGACACAGAGTAAGTAATGACACAGAGTAAGTAATGGTTGCAGCAAAAGCAAGACAGGGCTTAACCTGTAGCAACAGAAACTGCCAGGAGTTGGAGAGATGGCCCAGATGAGGCCAAAATGGCGGAGTGAAACCTGATATTAGAGATAGCCGCCTTCAGTATGAAGTCCCTTCATACAGACCGATTCCGGAATATGAGAGAATATGTCAGTATGGAAAGATTGCCAGATTTAGAATCAGAGTCTGCATTTTAGTTCTATTACCAGCTGCGACTCTAGGCAGGGTACAGAAATACTGTTTACATCAACCTCTTCATCTGTAAAGCGAGTTTGTCAATGGGTTTGCAATAAGTTTTATAATAATTAGAAACTACATGTGCAGCAATTAAACAAAACACTTGGCTAAACAGAAAGTATATAGTAATAGCTTATTATTCTGGCAGTTACATTAATACAGATAAGTCTTACTCATGTAGTTTTTAATGGAAACATACACTACATTATATATATATATATATATATATATATATATATATATATAATATAAAATACATATGGTGGTGGTGGTGATGATGATAGAAAATTGTAGAGGCAAAAAAACCATGAGACTTAATTAGCTCATCTGTGTCTGGTAACATCTGACAGTTGAAAAGTTCAAGGTTGCTTATAAGAGAGAGAATTTGCAGTGTTACTCGGAACTCTGATGTTACACTTGCAAGTTGAATTTTAAGCCACACAAATCAGATAATCTAACCTTCCCTCTCCCTCCCTCTCATGCCTGCCTGCCTTCATTTATCACCAGCAGTGACTGCGCCATCCTGGCAATCATGCAGTGAAGAGGCATTAGGAAGTGATCTAAAGGTTCTGGTGGCTTCCGTAGGGCAGGAAGTGTCCTGAACACGAGAAAGAGGATGCGCGTGAGTTGGGTGCGTTACTTCACAGCTGCATCTCCTCGCTGTGGTTCATCTGTAACTGTGTACCTCTCTATTATTATTAGCCACGAACAACGCAGGATAGAGACGGTCATCTCTGGCCTACAAATACAGGCAGTGAAGCCTAGCAGTCACTCTAGGTCACACACTGGGAAGTGGTACAGCTTGTCTCTAGACCAAGTGCTGCCCCTGTAACTGTTCTCCATTCTTTTTGCTATTCCAGAAGGTATGTCTGCTCTTTAAATATGTATACTTGATATTCTCACTCAAAAAGCTCAGATTTCTTAGAAATAGTTTGCTTCAGAAATGGTTTTATGTTAATTTGTTAATTTCATAACTGTGGAAGATACTGTGAGAAATTAATCTCCTTAAATTAGCAGTTTTTATTATAGGAATTGATTTTAATGTTTCCATTATTTTAAAGCTTTCATGAAGAACTTTAAATTGAAAATATATAACATCAATTACCTTGGCAAACATTTCCTTTCAGGGACTAGTGAACTATTTACTTCAATGTCCTCAGAGATAAATTATTACCAGAAGATGCTTTATGATTGAAATTGCAAATGTGACTTCATTTTTTTTTTTAAATTGGCACTTTTGCTTCTTAGAAGTTGAAAAAAATTAGTTCTACATGAAATAAATGTACCTTATTATTAAAGACCTCTGATGCTTGGCATGTAACATGCCAAAATGGACCAACTATAGAAATCTAAAGGTAGGGTTTTATTAGCCAAGGTGGCATTTCTACCTCAGTAAGCAATTCAGTCAATGATGTCTTCAAAGTTTTACAAACTTTCTGGCATTAGTATGTATAACAAACAATCCTCAAAAATAATTTTCCAAGGTAGAAGTCAGTACCTAAACAGGCTGATTTGGGGTTTGGGTATGTGGTTAGTGCCACAGAGCTTGCCTAATACGTGTGGCCAAGGGAGAGGGAAAACGGGAATTAGCAGATGTGCTTGTACTGGCAGCCATGCGGGGAGAGCCTGCCCGGGAAAACAACCCGAGACATCATCCCTGAGTGAAAGCACCTCACTTGTCATCTGGTGATACTGTTATTGTTCATATCAAAAGTGGATTTACCGAGGAAGTGTAAGGACAAACAGAAGGAAACTAGTCCATCCTAGTTAAAGAAATAGGTGGTATTTTACATGTTGGATAGTCTGTTCATCTTATGACCGTAACACTTACCAAGTGGCAAAGATGCAAGACGGTTTCCAGCCATGGAGAGCTCATTGAGGCTGGGGAGCTGGCAGAGATGGCGAGGCACACTCCATAGCCGATTGCGGTCCACAGTGAGGTACTGCAGAGAAAGGCACAGGTGAAGCCTCTCGGGTAAAGCTAGCAAACGATTGGTAGAAATGTCTAGTGTCTGCAGCTCCTTCAAATCGCCAACCTCTACAACCAAAATCAAAATTAAGATAAATCGCATTCTGATTAACTTCAAAGAATAATATAAAAAAATCAATACTGCTACAAGTTCAAGCAAATAAAATCAGTTCCTAGGGCTTTTCCCACAGACGTGATGCTGAAGCACAGAATTAGGGGTGAGCCTGCAAACCATCCAGACTTGGTAAGCCTCTTTCTCTTAGCCTGCCAGATTTGGGGAGAGGCTCTGCACATGTGTGAACCCATGCTTACCCATGAGTGCATGTACGGAGATCAGGAGTCTCATCCGTCTGTTGCCACCTGAGATGCTGAGGCAGGGTCTCTCACTGAGCTGGTGACTACTCTCTCAGCTACTCTGGCTGGCCAGGGAGTCCCCAGATTCTACCTTTCCTCACCCCGTCCAATCCATGATGGTTACAGATGTGCACCACAGTACCTGGCTAATCTGTGGTTTATAGGGACCTGAGTTCAGGTTTTCAGGCTTCCATAGCAAGTGTTTCACTTACTAAGCCACCTCCCCAGCTCTTGCCAGAGTTCCCTAAATACTGCAAAGTGTTGGTTTAAAGAAAGGGTGGGGGTACAGAGTGATTAACCTGGGCCAGAAGTCTGATACTGACAAATCTAAGTTCTTGGTCAGGTGAGAAAGGAGAAATTACTTCACGGTAGTGCTTCTGATACCTGTGTAGCTGACCCTCCAAGCAGATCAGAAGAAATTTACAGGTGGAGGGACCCATGTAAACACAGCAAAATCAAGTGGAAGCAAAACCAAGTGGAAGACCCTTGTACTAAGAAACAGGAAGTCTTGGTTCTACCTCCTATTTATTCCAGGTGTCCCCTTCTCATAGGCATCTGCAGTTGTAAACTGTTCTGCGGTGAATACAACCATGTTCTTGTCATATGTCAAGTCATTAATTGCTAAGTGAATACTGCTAAATTCTTTATAAGAAACTGAGTCCTTCTCAGGAAGAAATCACCATTTCAGGGAGAAGACATTTACTCTGTCCCAAGAAGCCCTCTTCTACTTGATGGTTCCACCTAAGCACTGGGAGAACAGGTCTACTTCTTCCCCTTCACAGATACTTGGTGTCAAAGTCTGCTGTGATGCTGCCTCACTGTCCCCCTTTCCCAGGCCATTTGCTTAGGTTAGGACTTATGGCACCACCTTGGGCACCTACCCTTTGTTTAGGATGTGGATGAGCAGTACCACTTCTGCCAGATGGTCAAGTGCTGTGCTTTCACGGGAGCTTTCCTTACTGTCACTGACCAGGAGCTGGCTGCACCACAACTCTCAGATCACACTTGGCTCGAATCTGCTGGCAAGCTAAAGCTTGCACTTACATTTTTAAGACAGGAAAGCACAGGGGATGGAGAGATGGCTCAGAATTTGGGGGCACTCAGTGTTCTTCTAGAGGACCGGGTTCAATTCCCAGTGCCACATGGCAGTTTATAACTGTTTGTAACTCCAAGATCTGACACCCTCAGACAGACATACATGCACACAAAACACCAATGCACATAAAAATATAGCTTTTTTTAACGATAGTGAACCACAACATCCAAATGGAGGTTAAATTGTAGAAACCATATGTGACCTACAAAGCTTAAATATGTTTATTACCTGGACATTTATAGAAAATGCTTTCTGTCTTTGCTATAGAATTATTGTTAGAAACGTTATTTAAATTGTTATTATTATTATAGTATGTACACATGTATTGCACTTAGAGGTCAGAGGGCAACTTCTGAGAGTTGATTCTCTTTACCACCACGTAGGTTCTTTCTGGGCATCTGACCCCCATCTTTAGGACTAGCCACAAGTGCATTTACCCTCTGGGCCATCTGTGTGGCCCTTGCAGCATTCTAAACAGCCATTTTTTTTTAAAAATATGAATGTATTGTAGGGTCAAAATATATTGACTTCAAGTTACTTTTCTAATACTGACAAACTTGTCCTAGGATATTTATTATTTATTGTTTAAATTTTCCAAAAAACAAAGTAAAATCTTCATTTGAAAACAGGTAGGCATGATTCTGTATGTAGCATGAGTCTCCATGGGAGTTTTGTTCCACTTGAACTTAACTGATGTGTAAAACATGGAACTCAAATTCACTCGTGTGCTTACTCTTAGCCATGGTGTAGCTGATAAAGTCCATTTTCATATCTTTATCACAAAGTAAAAGTACTGCTTATGTGGGCTATAATGATGAGGGAGTTAGTGGACCCATGTTTTCAAAGCAAATAGAAAGACAAAGAAAAAACAAAAACAACAGGAAAGAAACTTTTTGACCTAACTTTAGCAGTGACTGGACATCCATGGGGGCCAGGGGACAAGAGAATGTCACAGTAGGCAGTGCCCTTGGAACCACGGAACATAGAGGAAACAAGGTGTGATAGAAGCCCAGAGGAAGGAAAGTCACACAAAGAGCTCAAGCTCTTTGGAAATTTTCCTGGGAATGGAGCCTGGAAAGGCCGAGAGGAAAGAGGATATTGCATTCCCAGCGGGGTGTGTGGTGTAATTGGAAGCTTCAGAAAAGCACAGACGTGAAAAAACTAAACACAGTGTGCCCATGCCCAGCAAGTACCCATAAACAATAAGAACAAAAAAGAAGGCCAAGGCAGAGGGCCACTGGAGCCATGGGTGACCACAAACACAGAGAGGCCCCGGCTCATCAGAGCTGAAGTCCTCTTTGGAGTCTCTAAGTAAACACACAGAAAACACTGCAGTGGAAGAGAGTGTGCCTGAGAGGACAAGGATGTGTGCCACCATAAAACAGAAAAGATGAAGGAATTTGAGGACAACTCCAGAGACATTTGTTTTTGTTTCTTTGGTTTTTCAAGACAGGGTTTCTCTGTGTAGCCTTGGCTGTCCTGGACTTGCTTTGTAGATCAGGCTGGCCTTGAACTCACAGAGATCGCCTGCCTCTGCTTCCCAAGTGCTGGGATCAAAGGTGTGCACCAGCACATCTGGCTCAAAAATCCAGGGACATTTAAAGGAAAGCAGACAAACTTGACTGGGTAGGTAAACAGCAAAGTATGAGAAAGTCAAGTGTAAGCCTCTACCTCCCTCTAGAGCAGGGAGAGTCTCAGCTTCTCAATGCTGTAGCCTTCAGTACAGCTACTCAGGCTGTGCAGCCCCCAACCATAACATCACTCCATTGCTACTTCATAACTAATTCTGCTACTCTTGTGAATCGTGATGTAAATATCTGATATGCAGGATAGCTGATATGTTACCCGCAGAGGGGTCATGGCCTACAGGTTGAGAACCATTGCTCTAGACCATTATTCAAAATATGGGAATGTCTATTTTGAATATGCACACAAAAACAAAATCTAAAATTTTGTTTTTCTAGGAAAGAGTATATGAATAGAAATTACTAAAGATGAACTAAGCTGACCTCACTTGACATCTCAGGCACTAGAGCAGGTACCTTGTTTTTAATGCATGGGGGAATTATCTGGTTTGACCACATGCTGTATTATTATGCGGGTCTTACACTCCAAAGGACTGAAACCATACAAAGCAAGTGCCCCGACCAAATGAGGTTAAAGCACAGGGAAAAGCTTCACAGTACATGTGAAAAGTCAGATGAAAGAACCAGTGACATACAGGTAATGGGAACTACATGATCAGAAAGTAACAGACAAGATCGACAGAACTTCAGATACCTGTAGGATGGAAAGCTACTACAAAAACACTTGCTACCCTAAATACGAAGAGAATCAGGAAAAGGGGACAGAAGAGGTTTCAAAATGGTGGTTAAATTTTACTCTAAAGACCCAAAAAGTTAAAAAAAAAAAAAAAACAAAAAAAAACCCAAGAACACAAAGAGATTTACACTGACACTCAGGAGCCATGAAAGACAGCTGTTAGAGACAAAGACCTGTGGGGTTCGTGGTATCAAGACACATAACACATAGAAGCCAACTCAGTGATTGAAACTGCGCACTGGAAGTAGTTAAAGTGTGGGCTGGAGCGATGGCTCAGAGGGTAACAGCACCCGCTGAGCAAGCCCCATAGCCTGAGCCCAATCTCGGCTCAGCCTACAAGCACACCGTGGCACATACGGAAGACCCTGTCCTCTTACACTCTCCATCACCCCACCCCTCACACACCACACACACAAATAAACAAGAAAGCTTAAAAACAAACAAACTGTGAGTTACATAGACTATAAATAGCAAAATGATGGATGCAAATAACCATCTAAATAACTATATTAAGTGTAAACTGAGCCTGGCACAGGGCCAGTCACCTTTAATCCCACTATTTCAGAGGCAGAGGCAGGTGAATCTCTAAATTCAAGGCAAGCCTGGTCTACAAAGCAAATTCTAGGACAGCCAGAGCTACAAAAAAGAAGCCTGTCTTGAAAAACAAAACAAAACAAAAAAAGAAATTGACTAAAAACCCAATTAGATGCGAAAGGATGCTAGACTAACTTTTAAAAAGATATAACTGTAAAAAACAACAACAACAACAACAAAAAAAAACAACAACCACACTTTGTATTCAAAGACACAACTAGGTTTTTAAATCAAAGGAGGAAAAGTGCAGCAGGCAAACGGTAACAAGAGAAACAAGGCTATTCTTTCACAGACAGACAGACAGACAGGAGTGTGTGTATTACTATAAGAGACAGAATTATTTCATGATTGCTAAATGGTCAGTCACTCAGGAAGAAACATAATTTCAAGTATATACATATGTAATAAAGCTCAAAATGAAGAGACCAAACGACTACATTGATGAGAAGAAAAGTAGCATTTCAACAATGACAAGAGGAGTATTTCACCAGTCTACCATAACCAGCTGACAGCAACAGGCCCTAGGAATGGCTAGGATACAGTAACTCAAGCTATATAATCAAGCAAGCTGACTCCTGACACCTTAGAAACCACACCAGAAAACACCCTGGTTTTGAGCACACGGTGCATTACCCAGGGTTAACCATATGCTGCACCATTAAGTAGGCCTCATGCTTATAAGGACCGAAATCACACAAAGGAT